GGGATAAATAAAAGAAAAAGTACTTCCTCTGAGGAATACTGACGAGGGGGGGGGCAGAGGGGGAGGGAGAGGGGGAGGCCTGACAGTTTGAGATTCTTTGTTGCACGTATTTTTGGAGCTGTTCAATCAAACCTTGGATGTTTTAAATTGTCAGGAGAGAGGAATTCATCGAGGATGCTCGAAAACAAGTGCTTCGTGGATTGACTTGAGGACAAAGGAAAACCACCAGGGGGAGTTAAATTGGACACGTGGCGACTTTTTAGACTGAGGGAAGAAGCAGCAGGAACCTGAATCTGTTAGTGAAGCACTGGTTTTCAAATGAATTACCACTTAGCAACAGAGTGGTTAGCATTGTTGTCCCTCCGTGGAACGCCGGCTGAATTTATTCTGGAGTCTCAGTGATTTGTTTGTACCAGGGTCAAAACCCAGTCTGAGATTCTCTGATTCAGCAACTCGCTCTTCTCTTCTGCGGTTATTTTGTCTTGTTGTTAGCATACAAGCTAAATTGTCCTCTGGATCAATTGTTGAAATATCGATGCCTCTGTGGCTGGACAGAGACAAACGTTAGCGCTCGGTAATTTCCACCGACTGCTCAATCGTTATTGTTGATCAAAGCTTCGAAAGTTTAGATCGTTTTGGAAACATCAGCAGTGGTTTCTTAAAATGTTCTGGTCGTTCCCACTTTGAACAGGTAGAGGTTTTCAAGTTTTCAAGCCCACCCTGTCCCTGTCGCCCCAACAAATATCTTGACAAATGACATTTCAATTTTTTTTTTGACCAAACACTGAGTGAAAATCCATAACATCAAATAAGACAAGGTTGAAGAAGAGACAATAAAAGTTTAGTTCAACCTTAAAGATAGGAAACTCCAGTCTCCACTAGTGGGCCCCGCCCCACATTTTGAGAACCACTGAGCTAAGGGAAGGTCTGGCGACCTCAGGCTTACCTCATGCTCATTTTAGCGCCTCCTCTCTGTTAGGGAGTTCAAATGCACACGTTGATACAGTTACTGCTGTAGTTCGTGCACCATCGACTCACAGACGATTTGATTGGTCCAGCTGCTCCACGGTGACGAATGTGTTTTGTAAATGAAAAAAGACGACGACGGCAGCAGCAGCCGCTCGACTAGAACAGTGTAACAGGCCGGTGATTCTGATTGGATGTGAGTTTCCAGATGTGCACCGCGACAGTTCTGTGTCTCCAAACAGCTGCGAGTTTAACCCAGATCATCAGCTGTTCAGTAGCGCCCCCTGGTTCACAGTCAGTGCAGCGGTCTGCCTCCTTCATTGTGATTCAGCGTCAGTCCCGGTGCAGAGGTTCAGTCCGGACTCGAACACCTTCAGTAATGATGCACTTGTTCCTGTGCCAGAGCTGCTGCTGATGCCGTGGTTCGGGGCCCTGCGGGGACCTCAGGGGGGAGTTGGAAGGTCTGACGTGTCTCTGGGCGGAGAGCTCAGCGATGCAGCAGGACGGCCGTCCGTCCCTGCGGTCATTAGGATGCACTCGTCACCCACACGTCTCTCTCTCTCTCTCTCTCCGTGGCCCCCTGGTGGTTTGCTCGTCTCCGTTCTGTCTCCCCTACAGTCCACATGATGAATGTTGTCCTCTGCTGCCTCTCTGTCTCTGTCCCCCTCCCCTCCTCTCTCACCCTCCCCCACACCCCCCCCCCCCCCCTTACATAATGTTCCTCCATGACTGATGGTCCTGTTCCGTCCAGTCAGCGTTAATGAAAAGAATAAACTCATATTCCATTCATGCCTTTGGGACTTGGTTCTCTGCAAGAACACAGAGTGGGTGAGGAGGGGGTGAGGAGCGGGTGAGGAGTGGGGGGAGCAGCAGCGAAGGGCAGAAACTGTGAAGGGTAAGACTTGAAGGGAACATGGCTGTGGATACAAGAGGGAGAGGAGGGTGAGGAAAGGGTGAGGGTGATGACTGCTGCAGGAAGACTGACGAGGTGAAGAGGGCGGAGCTCCTGGTGCCTCACCTTTACTCTCATTGGTCCAACTTGTACCCCGTAAAAGTCCGTCAGTGCTGCGCTCTGTTCCTGTGTTTGAAATCTATTGTGAAAAGATTTAATTTTTTTTTTCCAATTTTGTGGAAAGTTCTTTTCTGTTCAAGCGTTAGATGTTAAACTGCTGTTTAGCCACAGACGTTAGCAAAACAGTTGACGAATAATAAAGCAAAAAGTTAGCTTAGCTTAATTAAGAAGCTAAAACCTGACAAGAGTTTCAAAAAGATAACTCCATAAAAAGATTTTTCAAACTGCTTTTATTTTGAAGAACTCCGTCTGACACTTCGAGGATGCGACTGCGATCGCACACGAACGATGCGTCAAAATTACAAGTTGTTGTTTCACATGATTTTTCTTGGCTGCGGAGACGGAGTCTCAGCGGGAGACGGGACGATGAAGTCGGAAGTCATTTGGATAAAAATGTCTGTGAAATGAACAAGTGTTTCGACGTTCACTGCCAGAGAAAAGTCTCACCCCCGCCACCGCACCCCCCGCCCCAAACTTCACACCTTGTTTTTTTTACTCTTTTAACAGAACGACTCTGATGGGGTTTTTTTTACAGCTACATTTTTGGCTCAAATCATAAAAATCTCTCATATCCATGTTTTTTTTTTTTTTGTTTTGTTTTTGTCCAGTGTGAAGATGGTGCTGCTGTGGACGGCGGGCGACGTCTTCAAGACCACCTACTTTGTCATCAACGACAGTCCGCCTCAGTTCTGGGTGTGCGGCTCGGTCCAAATTCTGATCGACGGCGCCATCCTCCTCCAGGTGCTGCTCTACAACCAGGACTCACGGGTCAAGCTGGGGTGAAACGGGGGCCGTCTCTGTCTGAGCACATGTTGAGCCTCCAGAGAAAACAGTCGGGATTCTTACCTGGAGGTGGCGTCGGCCTCCGTTTTCAGGCAGTTCTTTTTTTAGTAATTTGCCTCCGAGCGCTCAGTCATCACCCGTCTGACTCCCACTTCACACTCCTCACCCGACTGAACGGTTCTCCTGTGTGTTTGTGTGTGTGTGTGTGTGTGTGTGAAATAGATTTCTGCTGTTGGCGTGCGAGTCAAGGTAACTCGTGCACAGACCATCAATCTGTGTGTAATGACTCGCTGGCTTCAGTGATGTGACTGACAAACGACTCCACACCAGGCTCGGCTCTTTACTTCACTCTCCAAACCTTTTTTCCTTCCTGCGAAAAAACCAAACAGCTCAAATGTATTTATTTGTTTTGCCAAGATTTGAGTCTAAGTTACGACAATCCTGACCTACTGAGACTTGGTTACTGATGACAGGCGTGTGTTTTTACTGGTAAATCCAGTGTGTGACATCACACTGGTCTGCTTGAATTAAATCCACCAGTTAACGTTGTAGCTAACAGATTTATATATATCAGACACAGTGATCTGCTAACAGACAAGCCAAAGAAAAGCACGTTTGTAATAATGCTGCGCTCACTTTAGTCGTTCTTAGCTAACTCTTAGATATGTTTGAGATTATGTGGGCAAACCTTACCTTTTTGTTAGCAAATGTAAAATGATAGTTAGCCATTAGCACGTCGACTGGCTGCTAATGCACAGGAGCCAATACAATTTTAACTTTTTAAATTTATATAAATATATATATATATATTCATTCTATTTTAATTCGTCATTAGTTGAACCATAAAATCGCTTTTTTTTTGCAATTTCATTTTGTGGCTCAACTGTTGGCTCAGCTGGTGGTGTTCAGCCGTCCATCTGTAAAGATCAGTGTTAACCTGCGTGTTTCCTGTTCTGCTTTATTGTCTTTTTTCCTCTAAATGAGGATTTCATAGTATATTTAACAGTTTCTAGTTCAAGAATAGGTCATTTCAGATTAGATTAGATTAGATTAGATTATGATCTTGAAATGCTCAGGACATTTTTCGATCTCACTTTTATTTCGATCGAGGTGTTTCCAGAGCCGTCATTTCACTTATTTTATTTAAATTTTTTTTTCGAGAATGAAAAGCTGTTGCATTTCAAGAATATAAAAAATATATTTTCTTATACTTAAAACTGTGACAGAACTTTAGCGTCAAATACACAGTGTAGATACAAGTCAAGAACAACTCCGATATTGAGAACGTTGTTTTAAAAAAGGTTGACGTAGAAATGTAGCATGTCGTTCATGTGGACGTTTGCACTTCGAGTTAAAGAAGAACAGAATCAAACAGGAAAATCTAAAGTTTTCATTGTCTTTGTTCAGAGATCTGTCCAGAGCGAGTTAGTGAGCTGTAGTTTAGTTTTTAATGGTTTAAATAATTGGGTTTTTTTATTTTAGTTTCACTGTTCTGATTTTTGTAATTAATGGAATAGACTTCAAAAAAGTGTTTAATTATGGAAAGAAAAATTTCACTGTGATTAAAATTAGGCAAAATCTGTGGTTTTATACCTGACTGTGCTTTGAATTTCATCATTTCAATGAATTTAAATTGTTGTCTTTTTTTTTTTTTTTTTTGCCTGTTTGGTCACATTTCTGACTTCAACTTGTAATAGTCCAGAGTCGAATCACACTGAGAGTTTGAATGTGATATCAGATTAGATTAGATTAGTTCAGATTTTTTTTACGTGCAGAAACTTGCTGATACAGATATGTTGCTACTGTTTAGATTTAGAAAAACACGACACGTACAAGTGAAGATTTGTGAAAGTTGCAGGTTAGGTTTTTTTTTTGTTTTGTTTTGTTTTGTTTTTTTCTTGGCAGAAATTTGAAGCACAAACATCTAAATGTCTGCAGTTTGAAGCCTTGGAGCTGATTTGGCTCCAGTACAGGAACACAAACACTTTCTGCATCAGGTTGGGTATTTATTTAAAAAAAAAAAAAAAAATCAGAAATATTTAATTCAGAAGCTTTGTGCTAATGCTAATCCCTCAACACACCGCAAGAAAACATAAATAATAATCAGCGTCAGCAGCTGATCAGCAGCACAGGCAGCATTTTTTTTTCTTTCGTTCCATTTCCCTGTTGTAATCATGAATTCATTCTACCTGTGATTGGTTCGACTCATTTCTTCTTTTTTATTGGTCGATCTATGAACTCGTATTTTCATGTTACCATTTTAGCAAATCTCCTGCTTCAAAATGTTTTTTCAGTTTGAGTTCTTTTCACTGCACCATCTTGGTGTTTAGTCTCCAAAGACATGTATTTAAATATATATATTCATATATCTAAATATATGTGTGTGTACATATATTTATATATATATACACATATATGTACATATATACATATGTATATATATATATACACATATATGTATATATGTGTGTATGTATGTATATGTATGTATGTATATATGTATCTATATACACATATATTTATATATGTATATATGTAAATATATACATATATTGTTTTATTCTAATTAATTAATTACTCCATTTATATATTTATACTGTATATCCCACTGAAGTATGACTGTCTGGAGTAAGATGTCGTGATGTTTGAAGGTATTTTATCCACAGCAGATCCAATAACTTCCATCTACGATGGAGTCACTGATTATTGTGATGATGATAA